GAAGGGGGTAATTTGGACAATCCGTCACAGCTTTTAGCTTTCGGAAATCCGCGCAGAAACGAAGTCCACCATCCTTCTTTTCAACAAGTACAACGGGGAAGGACCAAGGTGATTGGCTCTTTTCAATCACGCCAAGCCCCTCCATCTCTTCGACCATTTGAGCCACCTTACTTCTCAGAGCTATTGGCAAGCGGTACGGCCTGCTGAGGGAGGGGAAGATGTGTGGATCTCGTGTTCCACTAACCTTGTATGCCCCAACAGTTCTCCCGGTAATGCAAAGGCCTTGCGATGCCTTTGCACTAACTCTTCCAGCTTATCTTTCTCCTTTTCTGTCAACTGTTGACCAATGTCAAACTGTTGTAGGGAGAAAGGTGGGCTGTCGTTTAGAGCCCTATCATCTAAACCCATCTCGGATGATGTCTCAACTGCCCCTATCGTTTGTGATGGCTCGGAGCTCTCATCCGTCTCGGCAATCTCCACGGGAATCAGGGTCCCTAGGACTTGCCCCTGTGAAATGTTCGCCGGTGACAAGCCAACATTTCTTACGTGTAAGGGGATGAATCCATCCCCTTACACGTAAGGGTGTCACATCACATCGGTGATGTGGCACCCTGTCACATCGGTGACAGTGACTAGTTCTCGCGTCAGTAGTATACCCGGGGAAGCTTGGACCGGATCAAATAGACAATCGCCTGTCTGTTTCCCTATCCTAATCCACAGCGTGGACACAGTCCTAGCCCCTATCGTATACTTCTTCTGGGTACGCACGACCGGTCGAGATCCATCCTCCTCGTCGTTATCCCGATCTGAAGGGTCTAACGTTTTTGAATGAATTTCGGAACCTCCGGAGGAATCCTCCTCTCGGAACGACGAACCCTCGACGCTATAGCGTCGAGGGTTCGTCGCTTCAGATGATATATCATCTGAAGAAATCTCTTCCACCTGGCAGGGTTTATTAATGGCCACCTGCTCTTTAGCAGTCACCGCTTTTAAGGAAATCTTCCTCACAGGATTTGCGACTGCCCCTTTGGAAACCTTCCAAAGGGCCACCTCCTCATTTTCACGATCTACGTGCAATTTCACGTGACCCTTACCGAGGTCAATCTCCGCCTCAAATCTCATCAAGAGATCGACTCCAATTATGATGTCGACCTCTCTCAATAATCTCACACTTATAACGTGAAAAGGATGAGTGATCGAAAGTGCAGAACCTAATAATGTGAAGGGGATCTCCATCACGCTCTCTATTGGTACCGCCGATCCAGCGATACCCAATACTGATAAGGGTGGGGTGTCTATCTTTCGATATTGAGCCTTCTGACCCAGTAATTTACTTGCCAAGGCACCAAAAATCAAAGACACCCGAGCACCCGTACAGTATCTACAAGCGCCAAATGGAGATCTCCTCCTAGTACTAACTTGACATACGGTGCTGCACTTTTTATCACAGAATTGGTTTCCCCACCTTCCGTTACATTGGGGAGGGTGAGGACTCGTACGCGTTTCCCTGCTTCTGTTTTTGCATTTGTCTTTTCTTTGTCAAACAATTTCGAGCTATGTGCCCGACCTTATGACAAAAGAAACAGGTCCGCTTCTCCGGGTTTCTTTGCCCCTGAGTCCTATCCCTCCTCAACGTCTCATTAAAGGGATTTTCATCTGGCCACGAAGGAAACTCCACAGCAGTAACCATGCTGGTCATGCCAAGGAGCGCTTCCTTGGATTCGACTTCTGAAGCCATGCTCACAGCTTTGTCGAAGTCCGTGATGCCCCCGAAAAGCAAGGCGCGTCTAACTTCATTAGACCTTACGCCCGCGATGAATTGGGCCAACAACTGCACCTGCAGCAATTCGCTACTCTTTCCGGGCACCTGTTCTATTATTCGAGTCCAAATCACTCTGAGTCGAGTGGCATACGCCCTAGCCGACTCATTAGCCTCTTGTTTTGTGAGGGCCAGTCTCTGCATGAGAGATCCCACCAAATCCTCTTTCAAGAATCGTTTTCTTAAAGCCACCTTCAATTCCTCGAAATCATCTGTCTCCTTGAGCGTCGGGTCAGAATGGATATAATCCCACGCACCACGATCCAATTTAGCTCGGAACACTTTCCGTTTCTCATCATTTTTCCACCCAGCCAACCCCGAATACGTTTCAAAAAGTTCAAGAAACCGGTCCACTGGGACCTTGTCAGTGCCGTCAAATTCAGGAATCGCGGTGATAAAAGCTGCCGACATCACGGGGTTTCGGGTGACGCTCTGATCCTGAGAAGTTTCCATTTTTGTTTCTGATTTTGCTGTGGACTCCGACTCGTCCTTTGGTGGTGGCATGTACTCAAGAAGATGTATTAAGATCGAGAGGATCAAGGTTTATCCCACAAAACAACAATTTTGAAAATATTTGGAATCAAATTCCCTTTGGAGATGGTCCGTTCCGGCTGGATTAACTATTTTTTTAGAAAATCCGAACGCGCTGCGCCATTTTGTGGCGGTAGCCGAGTGGTGTTTTTGTTGTTGTGAGCCGAGTTGGGAGCCTTGCATTTTTAATTCGAATGATTGGGACTCGGTGATTTTCCTGCCAAAGCTTTAATAAGTTTTACATAGCAATGTTTGGAGAACTCGCGGGGAAGGGACAAAATGAACAAAAATATAGTATACTTACAAAAGAGGTAGCATGGTGGAGGCTGGAGGTAGGTGGGATTCCTGCCAAAGCTTTAATAAGTTTTACATAGCAATGTTTGGAGAACTCGCGGGGAAGGGACAAAATGAACAAAAATATAGTATACTTACAGAAGAGGTAGCATGATGGAGGCTGGAGGTAGGTGGGCCACGCAAATCAGGAAAACTGCGTCCAGGATGGGGTTACAATCAAGACTGTCTCTCTGTCTCTAAGGGCATCCAGAAAAACCTTACTACCTCTCCCCTTGATCAGTGACCGGGGTCTACTTCCCGAATAAGGACATCCCTTCCACCGCGTCACTGGCTAGGAGGAGGTCGCACGAAAATTTACTGCTGCTCGCGAAGAAGCATGACCAATCCACCTCGCAGCTAAAACATGGCATGGGAGGAGGGCCAACATACAATTTCTTCACACTGGGGCCTATTCCACAGAAGATTTACAAGCTACAAGTTTCAAGCGTAGTGCCTGTATTTACAAGTATTGGTATTTTTCGTTCCACAGAATTTGCGTTAGTACTCGTAAATCGAAAAGTACAAGGCACTAGAGCTTGTCATCATATTACTAGCTCTGAGTGCAGAGTAGGTCGAATGGACATTCATGTTCGAAAAATGAAGTTGGAAGATGTCAATGTTCAATCCGCAAATTCGGTGCTTTCGTCTTTCAGGAAATACTTCCAATGAAAGAAATCAAATTCTAACCAAGTCTTCAAAGACAAGCTGTGGAAAAGAAGTCGAAAAAGCTATCCTTTCAATATATTGACCTCTCCGAAATTGGGAATACTCAGGAAGATCTGAAAGCAAGGAAACTTAAACTCTAAATTGAATATTTAGAACTGCAAAACTTCAGGACAAAGTAGGAAATCCTCAGTTTGGAAAAGACTTCGAGTATCCCCTTTCCAAGCATACTACTGGCATAAATGTTCCCATTATAGGAAATTTGGCTGCTTCAAATGCAGCCAATTCTTCTTGAGTGTGTCCTCTCTTTCATAAATCTCGGTGCTCCAAGTTTGAGTGGGTAAACCATGATCCCACTGGCATGCTATAGTCTGACAAATTCTTCCTGATATGAATAAATGAGCAAAATTGGAAGTAAAAATATGCATTTTTTCATGAAAAATGTTTCAGCAATTCTTGAAGGTGACGCTCAGCTTCATTCGTTGATTCATGTGCAATCTCATCTCCATCGCGGCTGGGGTCATCATCCTTGTCGTCTCCATTGTTCCCAATCGCATTCTAAATGCCAGTTTCTTTTGGTTCCCGAGCTATGTTTCACAATTTCATACGTGCTTTCACAATTAGTCCCGCATATTCAGGACCCACTCGTAAATGATTCACAGGTGAATGACCCATGGCATAGTAGCGATTCTGTGGCATTTCTGAGCAGCACCGACACTCGTGGCATCTGGGAAATCAGCATGAATGGTTATTTTATCCTATATGATGGTCACAGCAGTAAAATCCTTCGTCTCTGCAAGGCATAGGATTGCGGAAAAGATATTTACTAAGCGTAATAGCTGCATCTGTGGAATAGAATCAAATTTTTTTAAATTACAAACTCTGTTCGCTTGTAACATTTCCTATGGAATGGGCCATTGATTGCGATCATAAACACAGTTTCGCGGAACCTACCGAGCAGACAGGCTGGACGTGCCGAAATGTTCATGGATAATTGTGGAAACTTCCAAGGAAAATTCTAATCTCCACCTCTGTCACCTCAACTCGCCGATCGTCCGTAATCATTGCTCCCGTGCAATCAGTTACATGCAAATGCCTTGGAGGGCGGATCGGATCTTGGGGTCAACTTCGACCGACTTACGCTTCCTCTTGAAATCGTCGAACCATCTCGCACACTGTGGGCTGACTAGGGGCTCTTACCCCATATAGTAACCATACGTTCTTGAATCTGCCTTGCGTAGTTGACATCTTTGGACAAAAACTTGCCACTTTGATGCTCAATTTTCTGGATATTCATCATAAATGGAATTCAAAATAAAACTGGCATTACAATTAATGACGCATGAGCAGCAGAGGTCTGTGAGGTCGTATGACTAAGATACACAAAGATGGAGCTTTGAAATAAGCCTATCGTCAGCTCGGTGCACTTTTTTCTTCAGTGCCTTATTTTCAAAACGTTTTGACCGCCCCTCATAGGCACGCCATGTTCGCATATTATCTCCTCTTATTATGCCTCCTCTTAGTGAGTTTCATTCATCTTCCTTAACTCACAAAAACTCAAGAAAGTTCCACAAGATACATTTTTCACATTCTGTATGACTCATAAAGAATTGAAAAAAAGACTCAATGAATCATTGACATAGCTTGATCTTGAGGTATAATCATTGCACAATATTATTCCAGTGGAACCACATATGCATTTACCTGTGGTTCATAACTTAGAAAAAGAACAAACAAAACAAACACTCTGGTTACAATGAAAACACTTGAATAAAACACAATGAAAACAGAAGGAAGCACCCACAAAGTATCATGACAATGGCAGGTAGAAAGCAGTGGTCTGTGGAGCTTGATTAATGGATACCATCAACCATGATTATATATAACAGTGAGAATTTATTCTAGATTCTTGAACATGTATGAAAATGTATTATCCCTTGGAATGTAAATATAGTGACAACCAGAGACTCCAAAACCAAATCACAGCATCTCCAGAGGTAATGCTCACTTGCCTACTGCACACAATCTCAATAATTGTGTTCAGAGAGTCCTAGTGAGGTTTCAGTTACAAATGAGTAGTAATTGGTTTTATTTACAGCCTTGAATGTTGTATTTTATATATGGCTGTGGGTAGTTTTTCTTCTCATCCTGATTTTGAAAGTTGAGAACAAGATGTGTATTGTACAGGAAAAGGCACGATGTTTACATTTTATGCTCAAATTGACCCTCATGCAGCTCATATTGATGGGTGCATCAAAATAATGACTATTGCAAAAAAAAATGACTTGTGCAAAATACAAACATGGAAAGAATTTGGGAATAACCAATTTGAGGGTATCCATGTGTGTCAAACCTCATTTTGCTTGGTCAGGCAGTTAACTAGTTTTCACATTTTGAAACCTCACCAGGAATTTGAGCATTTTACACATGGCAGCAGCCCAAGTACATGTAAAATGTGCAACATAAGTTATGTAGCCAATCAACAGCAGCATAAAATTGAGTTCACTAAGGTAGGAGTGCAATAATACATCTGCACTTCTAAGAGGTTCTTAAACTTTTCTCAAGTAACAATTGTAAACTTCTTGCAATAAATATGAACTTATAACTGGAAGAGATTCACAAATGAGAGAAAAAAAAGAACCTGAAATTCTTGCATGGGATTTCACATTCTGCTCATTGCACCTGCTTTTGGATTGCAATTGAATGTCAGGTACAAAGAGAATAAAAAATAAGAATGTATGGATAATGGATATGGATAAACAAAAAAAAAGCATAACACAGAAATGGCAGGTATTGAATGAGCCATGGCCCCTAGCCACATGTCAAAGAATAATTTGGGTTAGCAATTAAGCTGAGATTATAAACTGTCCTACAGCATGGACTCTACACTTATACATGGACAAAATAAGATATTGTCCAAAAAATTTTTACTTTTTAATTTCTGGTATGATAAGGAAGAAGAGACAAAAGAAAAGGGCAGGCTAATGGGAAGAAAGAACTTCAAGCCATTCCCATGGGTTGGAAGTCGAAGCCGTATTTCCCTTCTTCACTGTATGGTGGTGGGGGAGTCACAGCATATTCTCCAGTTGGTAATTGATTTCCAAGTTCCTGAAATCCCATCATTATGGTCATTGTTTATTGTATATTCCAGATGGCTTATACATTAAATAGTAACAATTTAGGGGAACAATATGAAAAAGCAAAATTGCTGCACAATAAGATACAACCTTTTGGGATGCAAAGAAGCAGGAAATTTTTGCCAAAATACTGCACCTAACATCCTGCTCCCATAATGCAGCATTCATTTACCTGGAAGTGAGAGTAGACCACAATGAAGAAGTACAGCTCGATGAAATATATAATGATGCAGGCCAGGATCACAATGATGAGAATGACAATGTTGACTTGGAATGCAGCAAGAATGACTACTCCAATTACAGCTCCAAGGGCTTCAAGAACCAGATAGAGGAGAGACATACTCAGCCACGGGATCAGCAGTCCTTTTTCCCCCTGAAACATGGAAAAAAAAAACATACACTGTAATTAGTGTTAAAATAGGTCTATTGTGAAGAGATTGAGTCACAAGCTGCGAGAAACCGGTTCATCTGAGAGGAAGTGAAGGAGCAGGAGAACCAGCCAGAACTATAGGAAACTGTGTTCATGTGGAAGAGTAATTTTTTTCTCTAGATGAATCCTGGGATGCAAAATTCACATTTCAAATTGTCAGACATAAGGACAAGTCAGAGATCTGCTTAGCAGATTCTGAAGTGCAGAGAAAAAAAAAAAGTTTAAAAGAATAGCCACTCTGAGTGAGTTGGGCAGGTCCTCCCACCCATGGAGCGAGCACAAAAATAGCACAAAAAATTCAAGTTGATTTTGTAAAATCAATTGTGTGCTAATACAGCTAGATATAAACTGGAAAATTTTTCAGATGCTCAAAGGATGCAAAGAGGTGTGTATGAAAGAAACTCTGTTATTCTATTTCAGAGATTTCAGAGCTGCTATTTCAAAGGATCCACAAAATTTCAAAGAGCAACAGGTTTTTTTTTTGCCTCACCCGGTATGATCATTGGTGTATCTACAGTATAAGAAAATGCATTGAAAATACCTGATCCCTTGGAAATGGGGTTCACATGTGGATGGTCACCACATCAACACATTTCTAAGACCTTAGCAAACAGATGTAAGGATCAAATTTCAATGGAGCATTGCAAGTATTCTTGTAAATAATATCATTTCACATTAAAATTTTTATCCCCTTTCCTAAATGCACATATTAAAATCCCTTGATCTCTTTCTGGAGAAAAAACATGCTCCATGGCTCTAACAAACCTTGCGAACTCCATGAATGAGAAGAGATGAAGTGATGATGAATGCCAAATTCCAGAGCATAGAGCTGACAGAGGCATTGACAAAAGCTGAAAAAGAAAAAAATTATTTTTAAAGTTATGGTTAAAAGCTTTCTTTCTGTCAGATTCATAATATTCTCAACACTGGTATTTTATGAGGAAGATCCAACAAAACCAAAGTATTCTTTTGCAAAGAAAATCATGCTTCTCGAACACTAGCACAACATGCAACAGAGATTGAATGGTAAAATATTTAACTCTAACATCCAGGCAGAACCATTTAATGGCAAGACTAAAGAAGCAGTTAGTAGCAATAGCCCTAATTGGTAGCTTATACAATCTGATACCTGAAGGATAAGCTTATATTTGCTGTATAACGCAAAACGCAGTTTGAAAAAGGAGACTCACAGCAGTCAGTCAAAATGGATAAGTCTGGTAATATGTTTAAATAAGTTTTCAAAATTTTGAAAAACATCTTATGCAAAGTTTCACGCATTATACATAAAATTTTGGGGAAAATACTCTCCAAAATGAACTAGCAATCATTACATGGAAACAGTTTTAAAAGTACCAAGTAACAAGTAGAGATTCAACATATGGAAATCTGGACATATACTAATGTTGGAAATATAATGATATCCCCATAATTTATAGCAAAGGTTGAAGCCCATTACAACAAAAAAAAAGATAAAAATTTGTTTTCAAGTGGACATGCAGATTAGCTACAAATTTATGAGCAAAATCCTTATAGAAAAATCCTAGAAAGCTTGTAACCCAATGCTTGTCCCTGTAACACTTCTGATTGAGGAATGACCCATGTACAGAACATCTAACCTGAAACAGAAGGTCTAACCCAGACATATAACACTATGTCTGTTATTGATAGCTAGTTATTGACAAACAAATACATAAAATGTGCCAACAGTCAAAGCAAGGTTTTTATAAACTTGCAGACTTTGAAACTATGGAAATCAGATGGCACTCTCTTTACAGCTCCTCTACAACTCAATCAATACACACTGTCTATTTGCAGACTGATGTGTCTTTGTTATCTCAATCAAGTCAATACCCATATATCCAGTAGAGAAAACATACCTTCCTCTGAGATGAACTCACGATACTCTTGAATTTCCAAATTCTTCAGCAGTCCAGTTAAGAAAGCCAAGTTTATGATGAAAGAAATGGAATAGCATACCTGCAAGGAAGAAGCACTCTAAATGTCAACAGGCCTATGGGGACCAAAAACCAGAAGGGAAAGAGAATATAACTAAACTCCTTGAAAATGTTTATATGGAGTTATGCCTCACCAATACAACCCAAAACAGGATCAGTTTGCATGAGTCCATTCAGAAAGCATAATAAATTAGACATTTGAGAAATTTAGACATTGAGTATCAAATTCACAGAAATTCCACCTCAAACTGAAGTTCGGTTTTAGGTTAATCTTAGGTTTTCTACTTACTCAACCCATTATTCCTAATTGACATATTCTGGTGCACAGGAATCAGGGCTGGATTAAGAAGTTGCACAAATGTTTTTAATTTCTTGCAGAGGCCCCCCTGGAAGAGTGGGGTCTGGGGCAACAGCCCCCTTTGCCCCCTTAATCTAGACCTGATGGGAATTGGCCAAGTGGTTTTCTCTACAAGCATGGCATATGATATCAGACTTTTCCCAAATGGCAACAATGCTAAGGACCATGGATAAGATTTAAAAGCTTTTCTTTTACCAACTCATCATCATGATATAAAGGCTCAAGAAAATTGGTCTATTGAATAATTTTCTCCATGTCACCTAATTTTTCCGTTATATTTGCTACATGTCCAATATTTGCCTACATGGTGGCCTTTCTTTGGATCAAGAACTGAAGATAAACATCACAAATACTTGATCAGCATATATATGTGAACAACTGGTAACAATACAATGCTCAAGGGAAATTAAATTTAATGTATGACTTGAATGTATGTATGCAACAGATCAAGAAATAAAAACCAAATGTTCAATCTCAAGCCAATCCTGAGAGCAAACACTTTCAAAGGGTTACATTTGAGTATTGAGAGCATCATCACATGAGATCCACATCTGTGAGGTCATCAAGAGAGAAAAGTGACCTGTCTACCTAACAATGCAGATTGCTTTTTCTGTAGATATTTCCAATTTTCTCACATTTTTTGAGTCAAGTCCACTCAAGCCTTTGAGTCAACACTCTAGTGCTTCCTCACATTCAATATTGACATTCCTGTTTTCAGAGCATGGCATATTTTGCATACTTACATTCAGTGAATACAGGATGAAAAAGAAGAAACAGGGTAACACTACAAAATAAAATTTTTCTGGTGTTACACAGAACTTTAACCCTTTCATTATTAAATTAATTTCTGCTCTTTCTTTCAGGTTCTTTTTGCAGTAATAAAAAACATTTATAACATCACCCAGTATGTATATCAACCTCTAATTTCATCATATTTTTCATGAAAATATTAGCTATAATTAGACAACTAATTTGTTGCAAATGGTTACATAACAGAAAAAAAATCTGAGTAAATCCCCTGCTTCAGAACAAATGCCTTGCAAATGAATTCATGGTCAGAATAAGAAAGAAATAATTATAAAACTATTTCCAGTTCCTGTGCCCAACTGAGCAAGCAGAAGGGTTGAGAAAAAATCCATAGGCAATTAAAAGGAATAAAAATGAAATTGTCTTTTGCCATTGCTGGCATGAAAATTGATCAATTCTTAAGCAAGACTGAAAACTAAATACAAAGAAAGTTAATCCCAAACACATCACTAAACAATAAGTGAGGTGTGAGGTTTCAGGGTGAAATCCTTCATGACACCAGCACAACTTCATTAGGTTTTTAAGATTCTTGACGACTTGAGTTCTTCCTGCACTGATTTTTAGACTTGTATCCATTTCTTTTTTTAAGTACAAGCAGCAGTGCTGCTCAAATTTCATGCATTGCCAAGAACACAGACCACTAATGTGTTTAAGTATAATCATCATCACTTGCATCATCAGATCCCCAACTGGGCAGCTGGCAATGGTATGCTGGCAAGAGTGGCTGAATTTTTATCATGCCAATTCTGTCTTTCAATGTTTTGCTTTAGAATTGGTGGATTTTCATGTAGTTTTACACAAAACAAGACAGCAAAAAATTATTACCTCAACAATAAAAAAAAAGTAATTCCTTTCCCAGTCTCTGACAAAAGTGGGCAGGACATAGAAGTATTCCTCAATGGTGATGTTCCAACTCAGTGAAGGTGCTAAACCTTCAATTACTATCAATCCTTTCCTTACTTAGCTATTATCATTGGAACACAGGCAGCATTGATTCATCCAAAGAAATCCAAGCCGAAGAAATGAGTGACAATATTCAACATACCAATTCCAGTACAGCAACTGCAATTGAGCCATCCCTGTTGTTGAAGCAAAAGCATCCATGTACAACTGGCTTCCCCATTTTTGTGCTCAAGCTTCTCTTTGGGTTCTGTAAAACTGGGGAAGAATACAGGGAACCTTTAATTACCAATACTATTCACCTCCTCCTAAATTTGTGGTTACAGAATCATCAATTGCGAGAAAGGAGACATAAAATAGGAAACTCTGGTACACTACGCCATAAACATTCATCCACTCGTTTGGATTGGAAATTTTCTAACAAATCCAATTGTGATTAATGGTCACTAACAGAATAATGTAGGGCCTACTGATTACATCCTATGCCAATTAGGCTCCAGCTGATAGTCGTTTAACAGCTGAAGCCTGGCAAGCGATCGTCAATAGTCTTGACACAGGAAAGAAGAGAGGAAGATGAATTCCAACAATGACCACATCTACACCTCATCCTATCAATGGTATTTATTCCCATGTAGCGAAAATTCAACATGAAGCTCTATGATGATCCTGCAAAAATGAATCCTACACGGGATAGCCTACTGTGACCCATGATCGAAACACGACATACCAGGTCCCGCATTGCGCAAGGTCGCGGAAGCCCCTCCCTCCCCGCTCTCTGGCTACATGACGTCACATGGGCGAAACTACATGGCCCTCAAGAATCGGGGGGGGGGGGGGGGGGGGGGAAAGACTGGTAAATAAGCCCCGCGGTAAGAAAACCGGCGGGGAAAATGGCAGTACTGTTCCAGGGTTGAGTGTTCGCTGCACTTGAGTTGACACTCGCACTTACACTCACTTGGACAATTTTCACTTGCCTCAGACGCTCGAGCATGTGGAACATCCCATGCACGGATGTACGACCCACACAGCAAGGTGACATCCCAGGGATGTTCCCAACTGGACGACTTGTCCCAAGGTCTTTTGTGGGACATTCTAAGGACATCTTCAGTTGGACGATTTCCGACACCTCGAAAGGGACGACTACGGGACATCTTAGAGACGTCCATTAGTCATATTCAGTAAATGCAATACAATTTGTTTGGAGGCTTCATGTATACAGCCATGTATTATTCAGCATCATCCATGAGGGCTTTTCTTTGATCCAGTGCCTTTCTCGTAAATTCTGCAAACTTCTCCCACATAAATGCCGATTCACATATATCCCGCAACGTGTCAACCGGAAGACACTACGCTTGGGTTTCTCTCTCCTGGAGGTCTGGCACGTAAGTATGCCGCAGGTCTGCATAGGCTTGGCACTAGAACAAAAGATGTAACTCGTCCTCCTCCTCTCGACAGAAGGGACAAATATATAGTTGATATAGTTTGTTCCCTCTCAAAAAACGCAGTAGCGGCTCCAGGATGACAGGTCAAAGGAGGGTAAAGGCCATTATATTCTCATAAAACCACCTGGGATGCTTGAGTAGTTTATGGCAGGGGGAAAGGGACAGGGAGGGATAGGGTTGTCATATGCTCAAGTCTTGTGATTTCTCTTTACTTGAGACGTCCAGGAAAGCTCGTATTTCATCTCTATGTAACGCTCGCGGTCGTCTGGCGTGGCCGGTAGCACTACTCACACGTCGTTGTACTTCGATAGCTACCCGCGTCGCTACCTTGACCGTCGCGAAACAAGAAAATATCAATAATTTAAAATAAAAAAGGATGTAAGAAATTGTCCCCTTGGGAAGGCTCGTAGTGGTCGGACGGAATCGGTAGCCGTTAGACAAAGATTCCAACAGACTGGGTTTCACACAGGATTTCGTTTATTCTAATCTAAAGTTTACACACCATACAAAGTACCAAAAAGGGAGAATGTATAGGATCTTTCTCAGCACAACTTCGCGAGTGACGGTTTTTGCTTTAGAAAGGTGAATGAACAAAATTGAAAAGAATAGTTAACTCTTCGAAGAACAAGATTCAGCTCACCCCCTCGATGCAGCACTTTCGCGAGGACTCGTGATTTGTGAAATCACGGCTAAACAACGAAACCAGAAGGGGTTGCTCTGGCTCCAACCGTCCGCACGCCCACAAGCCGATTTCGACCTTGCTATTTCTATACGTCCCTTCTGGCTCCAACCAGCAAGGAACAAAAATATGGCCCCAACCAGATCCACCCAAGCCAGGCTACGACCAGCGCTTAGGCACCTCGGCTCCAACCGAGTAGAAATAGCAAGGCTTCGATTTACCAAACAGGGACCCTAACCCGGTGCCTGATGATAGCAGCAGCGAAGTCCGGAACCCTTCACCAACCTCCTCCTCCTCTTCTTTTCCACTCTCCAAGTGGAGTTTATATACTGTTCTCCATGTCCGTCCACGTCACGGTAAACTCGGACGCTGAATGGGCAGAAGGCCGGAAGGATGATACCGAAAATGGATTCAGGAGATTTGGGGAAAGTGGTTGACCTCTGATCCCTCTCGACAGCGGAATCGCGGCAAAGCCATAGATTACAAGAAGGCCGCCAGTTTTTCCTCACTTGTGGCTGTCGCAATTCTCTCTCGTTCTCCTCTGTTAATGATAAAGGGACACGCGTAGAGGAAAAGTAGCAATTAATTCCAACCCCTTTGAGGACCGTAGCCTGGCGCCTGACTGGGAAAGGCAAGAAGTCATGGGGTGCGCTACATCTATAACACTGACTGGTAACCTGAATTTGAAGGAACTTGGACCCCCCCGACTACCCTGACCTGTCATTTCACCTCCTAAGTCGCATTTGATGAGGTCCCAATCAACACCTAGTAAAAATCCCCATACCGCCTCTGTCGGCAAATTCTCCGGCCTCATCCATCAAATCTTTTGTTGGAGTGTCGGCCATTTCCATATTCCCAGCCTCGGAGTAGCTATGAGATCTCACGAATTCTGTCCCTGTCACATAAGCCTCTCTTGAGAGTGCCGTCTTCATCTCTGGATATATTCTTAGGGATCTCATAGCCCAACAGCGAGCCGATTGTACTTAACCATCCACATCCTTCAGTTGCTCTTTGAGGGTATTAAAGAATTAGTTGCCTCCTGGTCCCGTCCACCATACATACGAAAAGCCCAAGTTGTCCAGAATGCCTTTTAAAACATTGTCCCATGTGCGATGTTTCCCCTGACTTCCCCCACCTCTTTTGTACATCTCAACATTTTCTAAGCAATGGGCTTTTGTTTGGTTACATCTCACCCACTACTTTACCATTCTCTCCTTCACAACTGCATCTACTGTCTTTGTATCCAGTTCCAACAACATCCCTGCTGCCGGTGCATTTCTAGGGAGGCCAAGCAGCCATCTGAACCATGTATTCTGTATGGATTCCAGACCTTTTGAGTCCTCCTGTCCCCAAATCTCAGAACCAAAGGTGGCAACTGACATCACACAAGCATCAAATGTTTGTAGTTGCAGTTCGACGTTGGCATTTCCAAATATAGCTACCATCCGATGTAGTTTCCAGAGAGCTTTTCCAACCTAGTCCAGAATGCCTTTTAAAACATTGTCCCATGTGCGATGTTTCCCCTGACTTCCCCCACCTCTTTTGTACATCTCAACATTTTCTAAGCAATGGGCTTTTGTTTGGTTACATCTCACCCACTACTTTCTTTCTATCCAGTTCCAACAACATCCCTGGTTTAGAGTCTTGGTTTCCACCGTTGACTGTAGTGTGTTCGTAGTTTACAAACATCAACGTCAAGCTGCAACCGTAAAGGTTTATATCGATGGTAGGCTACATCAAAGGTCTCTCGAAAAGGTTGGAGTATCTTTCTCTGCTTTATGGCAGGAGTCCAAGTGCCTGTCTGCGATACACTCGTCCCATCGAGCCTCCTTTTCCGCCTTCAAATTTCCGTCCGAGCGGAAGGAGTCCTCTTTTGGCGGTCCGAAATATGATAAGCCGGCCCTTAGTCGAATGCTTCTGGATATCCCGTAAGATATGTCTTGAAGACATCTTCAGTCGAACGCATTTCGATATCTTGAGGAGAACGTCTTCGGGACATTTTTTTTTTTAACTAATGAGAGCTAAATGCATGATGGGCCCCGCTGCCGGTATACCGTCACATAGCTCCCGCCCACCATGGTGAGATCTTCCCGACTCAGGGACTGGCGGAGAGCAAGAACCCCTGTGAAGCTTGAGTCTTAGTCACGGAAAGGGCACCCATGACTACGGTGTTTTGGTGAGCCCGGGAGTTTCTCCTTTCGGGCCCACCTCCACACCTGGATCTCTCCCGTTTCTCAATTTACTTTTACTCTTAAGTAAGACATTCCAGTCAGCGGCCTGAAATAATGATGCAACCTGTCAGTGGATGTGTTAGTGCAGTGGTACTTTATTTCAATTAGGTCCACAATAGAGCGGAAGGGATTGAAAGATTAACTCCGAGCCATTTTTTTTTCTGCATTTATGTTTACAGGTGTTTTGTATATCACTATTGTCCTTATATCCTATCAGAAATGAGTTAGGACAGGAGCCCCAAGAGAGGAGAGAGCTGTTTTGGTCCACGGTCGACCGGCTTTCTCGGAATAGTCCACGGGACGTTCGTCCCCCAAGCATATCTTTGATAAAGATCTTGACTAGCTCGTCTCTCCCCACTTTACTCTAGTACTTATTCACCGGCGAAATCGAGATGGAAATGAGAGCAGAAAATTATTTTTTTTATATACCTTTATCCTTTTTTATTATTTTTATTATTTTTTTAAATACTCATGACAGGACAAGAGAAAGGGAGGAAGTAGATTATAGAGGAGAGAGAAGTATGACGTAGTGCCATTAAAGAGTCATAGTCCAGTTTATTTTTGTCCTGCAGAAAAGAGCACTGACAGGAACGGAAGTGAAGTGTTCGACGGGTCCCATGCTGCAGAAAAATAGCACTGCAACGCTAGGGTCAACTTCCGACGGGAACCAAGGTCGCGGGATAAAGATCGCCAAGTTTGGGACACTTCGATTCCGGTGTTGTAGAAAAAAAAAAACACTGCAGAGCAAGGGAGACGAAGTCAGGTCTCCTTGCTGGCCCTTCCAAGGCGTTGCATAATCATATTAAAGGGATAGGTTTTAGTATGCTTAAAGCGCCCGATTGCGTATTTTTTAAATTTAGTCTTATAAAGGGATATCCTGTCTGCCTCCTGGCCTCTTAGGGTCGTTATAATAATCAAAGGCAAGTTGAGAAGCATATTGAGGGAGGGATTGGAGTCCGCTGATTCTATATATTTAGGAGTTAGGGAAGTAAGTAGGTAGACGAAAGGCATACTTGATTGCAGCCCGTTCGATTCGCTCCAAGGGACTCAGGAACATCTTTGGGACATCTTACGAATCCCAGATAACACGTTACGCTTGGTCAACGTCGAGTAAAGGTGGGAAACGTTGGCGGAACGTGAATGTTGGGGAACGATGTTGGCCCAATGTGGGCATATTCCCACGTTGAGAAGAACCGCAGAACTCCTAGAGGAGAACTTCAACACCTTGAAGTTCTTCGCCAGGCCACAGATGGAGGTATGGGTCTCGCTTTTCGCACAGTACACAAAAGTTTCCTTCCCTCTTTCCCTGGAATCGTCCCTCGTAGGATTGTTTAGTACTCCGCCATATGCCTCGCCTAGTCTCATTACAGGAATCAATAAACGCGGACACTTCATCATTTGTTATCCACGTATTCAAGACAGATTCATGGAGTCCAGGCCATAAACAAGCTCATATTCCTTATGAGAACCCTTTCGAAAGTGTACTTAATCTGAAAAGGAGATCTAGGTTATAGAGGGAGCGACCGTGAACTCAATTCCGCTATATCCTCATCTTGATGACAGTATGAGAAAATAAAGGACTGATATCGCAGATGCTTCATAGAACCGTATGAGATGGTCTATTTTCCGACATTTACTGCAGTACATATCAGGGGATGGACCATCTCACCTGTGCAAGTCAGTGGTATATCAATGTCTGTACTGTACAGATGTACAGTCTTCTGCCCATCCAGGGCATTTACACATGTCCATGGTAGGTTGTTGTACATAGTACAGGCTCCGTGCTACAGATGGATAATGAATTCAAGAAAATGGTACGAAATGATGATAGCCAATATATAGCAAGAACCAGTTACTTGGGTAAGTGGGTTAAATGTTGCGCTTCAACTTCCTGCTAACGTTGGCCCAACGGTCACTTTTACGTGGGGCCAACGTGAGTCCCACGAAAAATGTTATCTGGGATGTCCTTAAGACATCTTCAGTCATCTTAAAGGCGCCTAACTGGGAAAGTGTTTCGCAGAGATAGCATAACTGGGCAATCTTGCCCCATCAACGTGCTTTGTGGATGACTGGTTTCGAAAGTCCAGGTGTGGACCTGGAGGACGAGCCCCGTGAAGATCGTCCAATTTCAGCAAGTAACGACACAAATACGACTGAAGTGAAGAAATTGAGGAGGACCGAATTAAGACATGCTGTCATAGAGGAGATTCTTGGGATTGGAGCGCCGGCATTTAAACGATTCTGCATTAAATTCTTAGGGTGCAGCAATTTTGTTCTTTTGGGGTCCCCCATGCGCTATTGAGGATCAACAAATGGCTCGAATCAATTTCTGCCAAGAAATGATGCAGAAATTCGTCAAAGGAGCTTCAAAATTGGTGTGGTGGTGGCAAGATCACCCAGGGATGATTGAGTCTCTTCAAAGCACTGCTTCACAGATAGCCGCATTTGGAAACCATACAAAATCAACATTCGCAGATCGGTTTGAAGATTGTTTGCTCTCCTGAGCATCGTCATATCCATTTCCTTATTACATGATGCACTGGTTGCCTTCATGCAACAAAAAACGTAAGCTTTCTCTAGCTTATGGAGAGTGCATTTATTGTAGTTGTGAGATAAACTTTGAGTTGTGGTTAAAATCACTCACCAAAGTTTCAGCCATACTCTATCCTTTCCTTCTAGCTTATCTTCGTTCAAGTGGGATTTCCGAAAAAGATCTGTCTACACTGAAGGTTTCAAGAGAACGTGCCTCTGATGATCTTGCTATTCTTTCAGGTTCCAAGGCTCCTGTCGCTCTACTTCTCTCTCAATTCATCTCCTTTTCTTTCTTGGTTTCATAGTTTGGTCCATGGGGAAAGCTACCGAAACGCATATTTTCTTCTTATATTTGATCAGTTATGATGTCTGTAGGTGACGAGTTTCTCCCATACAGTACCCTAGTTTAGGATAACGATGGGTTGGTTGATGGGCGTTGGATCTTGCCCTATAAGTGATATGTGTGGATCCGGCTGCAAATCAGTGGAGGACAGAAGCGAGGCGGGTTGATCGTCGAGGAGAAAAGGAGGACGCAAAATTCATTTTATACGTGGAATAAGACGTGAGAATGAGTTAACTAAAGGCCTTCACGACCGTATCAGCGTTATCGATCAAAAGACGTCATATCAGGGATATTCGGTATTCGTTCTCTCTTCCCTCGCAGCTCTCCGAAACTTTCCCCCCCGAGATGAGCGTTAAAGTGTCACCATTTTTGTTCGGGAAATCACTTTTGAATCTAGTTGCCGGTGATATCCAATGATTTTTCCATTCATTTGGATTTGGTACCTGTTCGTAACCAAGATGTATGGTTGCAGGGACGCCATTTTTCTAGAAAAATTACTTGTCGAGGCTCTGTGTGGGGATATTCTTCGACGTCGAATGGCCAAGCCTCGTTCACCTCAAGTTGATCCGGAGTACGTGGGGGGGATCCAAAAGTTTCAGCTCTGAGATATAAGGGAATGCGATAGACTCAAAAAATATGTATTTCAACATTTCCTCCTTGGATATATCCAAGGAGGAATCCTATGGTTGATATCAAAGGGGGATATCGGTGCTTCAATCGCGCGAGTAATTTTCATTTTCCATAGTTGTCTAAAAATACTTGGATAACTTTGAATTCATTTACATCTTCGTAGCTCTTCAAAGGAAGTTCTGCTCTAACTGTACTGCATTGAACGACCTGTTTGATTTGGATAAATGAACTGATATCATATTAAGGGCTTCCTTAATAATAAAATCTGCAGCGCTGTTCTATTAAATTTTTGCCTTTTTGTAATGAAATATATATATACTCATTGCCAAGAAACAAGCACAGCCAAGGACTTGGGCGATCTTGTTGAAATTTTGTACACAAGCTCGTACAAATGTACCATTAAATCGATTCGAGTTTCAAGGGTGAGAAATGAATATTCACGAAGAAAACTAGTCAAACACTCCAATTTCAATAGCAACTTTGGAGTCATAGTTATCGTCCAAAACGCCTAGAAGGATTTTATTGATGAAACGTGGCAGGCAAACTATGGATGTGCAGAAATATCGAGGGAAGTTTCGAGGTCGTGAGATGAGGCCTTTCAGAGAGAACTTGGCAAATCCCCGCGGAATGGGGGAAGAGGGCGGTGCCCCAGTTTCCTTTTCTCTTTCCCTTAGGCCACTTCACTATAGCGCCGTTGATAAGAATCTAACTGCGAGGCAGTGGCATGAGATTTCTGGAGGCAATTTCAACAAATTGTTAGCGAGTTTGATCGATGTAGGCTAATTGAGGGGCATGTAACACCTTCAAGTATCAGACTGGTACATGCATCAAGTTGGTCAATAGTAAGCGTTTATCAGCATTCAGGAGCATCTGATGCTAAGCCAATTGCCTGATGAATCATAACATGTTGCATGAATAGCAAATCACTCAAGGAGTGAGCATTACATGTTCACTCCTCAAGAGTTGGACCGATTTGCTTGAAAATAGCCGTCAGAATGGTCAAGGACAATACTGAATGGAAGCTTGTATTAAAAAAGCACTCAAACTGAGACATCGGTTGACTCAAATAATGGAGTCTGAAACTTATCTAAACAAGATAACAGCAAAGGATGAGTGGATGAAGCATTTCTTAAAGATTTCTGCCTAGTCCTCAAAGTAGCTAGTTGCCTATAATTTCAATAAACAGACAGGAAAAGGATGGTTCAATCTGCTTTCCATTAATTGGTTCTGTCATTTATGCGAGTTTCAGAAGCTGAGGTAGTTTTTTTATCTTTATCATGGAGAATTAACTCAATGCATTCTTAATTTATTGAATTAACTTCATTCAGAACAAGTAATTCTTCATGTGACTAACATGCATGTTTGCCTGAATTCTGAGGCATAATTCTTGAAATCCTCTTTTGTTCATCATTGATCATTGTCATCACTAATATCAGCATACCTCATGAGCAGTTTTACAGGTGGGGTATGACAGATAAATGCCTTTATCTGTAGTACACAATTTGAAAGTTGATAGCACCTAAGCCACATTCAACAGACTTTCAATTCACAATGTAATTAACGGAGCTGACAAGTAATCACAAGTGAGATTTATTCCACATTAAGGAAAAAGCATGATCTCTCCACTCAGTGCTAACTCTACTTGAGAAAACCAGAGAAACCAAAGCAATATCATGACACCTTCAAGAATAATGCCCTCTTGCCAACTGCACACAAATAAGCAAAGTGATATTGAAAAATGTACATATAGTTAGCACCAAAGAGGATACAGGCACAGGCCCATCACAGCAGCAGAAAAAAGATACAAGATGCAAGAAAGCAGTCAAGTGTAGACTGCAGCTGACTAATCAGGCAGATATAACTTTTGAAGGAGATTCTCATGTAATGAGGAACAGGAACATATATCTAACCAAGTTCCTTCAAATAATTCCAGTTACAAATGAGTCTGCTCGTTGAGTAACAGTTATAGAACTGAGGTACAAGTAAAGACAAAAACTTTGGAGGCACTATATTGACCTCAAAGAATACTGAGATACTTCAGTAGCCTTCTCCAGATATCACAGAATATTACAATGACTGAGATTTACATGTCTTGCCACTTTCAGAAAAAAAAAAAAACAAATCCATGATGAAAATTCAACTGATTCAACTGGCCAGGAACATGGGAGCAACCTGGAGGAAACAGCTACAGTCCAAAAGTGAGTGAGATATGATGTTTTCAAATCTATACAAAGTTCTATGACAGCTCTTGCTTGGGAAGTGAGAATTTATGCAGGAAATGAAACAGTTCCAACATAAAAATGAACAAAAAGGCTATAGTTAGCAACCAGTGGTTTCTTTCTGACATCTGGATATTCATGTATTTGCTTCATGCAATGAAGGAGAAGCATGTGAAACTGAAAATATGCAATGCAAATACCTGTACCTGCATAAGACAAAGATACCACATCTTAAAAAAGGTATGCAGATATCCAATAACACACTCACTCTCTAGCTCTGGGGTGGGCAACATGATCGCCAATTGCCACAAAATTGAGGCATAATTCTTTGTAATTAACCCCTCAGTGTCATTGGAATCATGAAATACATTTATTTCATGCAAATTCTGAGTTTTATTCAAAGTGTGGCAATTTTAATGGTTGAGTTGCCACACCTGTGGCAAGAAAAAAAATCCTGTTGCCCACCACAGCTCTATCTTAAAAGATGTGGTTTGCTCACAACCAGTGTATGAAAGAAAAGAACAGAGAAAAATGAGCCAAGAATGAAGATCAGAAGAAAACGAAGGTTCAAGCTGTCTCCTGCAGTTGGTGGAAGTTGAAGCCATTCTTTCCTTTTTCAGTGTATGGAGGTGGGAGAACAAAAGCACCTTCTTCAGTTGGGACCAGGTTCTCAAGTTCCTGAAAAACCCATTGTTATGATCATTGGCATCTTTCTGAAAGGCTTCCAAATTCTTAAATCAGTTAGCAGAGTGCATTTCTATACACTGTGGCTCAAAAAATCAGGGGCTATTAGTAAAATTCCTGCATATTTCAACTTCCTCAGACCCTCTCAGATAATGCTAATGTAAACCCTGTTAAATATACAGCATAAATTTGACATACTACTTTAATGAGATAATGTAGCATTCACAAACCCTGAAGTGAGAGTAGATGACAAGGAAAAAGTGCAGTCCAATGGAATAACCAATCAGGCAGATCAAGGTAAATATGAGGATAGAAGCAACATCAACTCCAGTTGCAATGATGAAGGAAACACCTGCCATCACAGCTAGAGCTCCAATGATCAGGGCAAGGAGATTCATGCACAGCCATGGGATCATCAGTCCCCTTTTGTTCTGAAACATGGAAAAAGCACAAAAAGATTGTTAAAAACAAAATGAGAAACCAGCCATCAGGCTGGGTTGTCTCAGATGATTACAATTCAGTATATAGCTTGGACCCTCTCATGTGTGATCACTAAGTCTCAATCTTTTCTGCTGCCTCCTTCCACATCTCAATATCAAAGAACTATGTCCTAAATTTTGGGGACACAGTTTTATTCCAGCTGCAGTAAATTCAGAGTTGAACAAATCCAGAACACTCTGAAGCTCCTGTCAAGATTGGCCCTAAATGGCACCATTGGGAAAGAGCTAAGGAATCTCTCAGAATACCACTGATGTTGACACTCAAGGACCAGGTTGCAGCTAGACATCCTGTCCATGTAGGGTGAGGTGGGGCAAAAGTAACCTGAAAAACACATCATTGTACTTTGCAGGATGATATAAAAAATACTAGCAAAAGCATTGCCACAAAAATTGATTTCTACCCTCTTCAAACAGTGAACAAGAGATTCAAATGACTTTCAGAACTTAAATCTGAATTGGATCCTTAGGAAATCTCTTTTTAAAAGCGCATTTTCATGTTACTTTTGCCCCATGAAATGGGGTAAAAGTAACATACCATGGGGCAAAAGTAACAATGCTGTACAAGTGCTGTTTGATAGCACTGAGAAGCAAAAGGCGGGACTGTAAATGTACTCCACATTATGTGGATGATTTGAGGAAATTTTCAGCAAAAATGGGCTAATAATGAAGCAACAATAGCTTATAATACTGAAGCTGGTGAAAACATTATCTGCTGAATTTTAAGCTTGCAGGAATTCTCTTTCTATGGGAATAAAAAGAAAAAGAAAGTAAAAGTCCTCTCATCCACCTATCTTGTACTAATTTCTTTGTTTTTCCTTTTTTTCTTCCTTCTAAATTATCTTCCTCGAAACTAGTTCAAAACCTGCAATCCTGTTTGCTTATGGTGAACATCAATAAAAGTCATGCCTCTCACAGGAACCTATCAACAAAGAGAAATATTATTTTCACAGATCATAACCTAATGACTTTTATTGAACTTCTGGACGATACTTTGACACAGACAATAACTGAAAAGAAAGCTCTTCATTAGACTCTGTCGAACATTATAAACTTAACAGAAATCCATTGACAATTCTTGTGATTCCTTCGTATCTTTTTTCATTCCATTTCATTTTATTTCAATCTTTCATTCGTTTCACTTCTTAGTTTCTTCTGATTCATTTCTTTTTGGATTTCATGTGCTCAAGCACATCTTCATGAGTGAGAATTTCTCCAAACCTTGAAGGAGCAACCTTCCTCCTCTTTACAGCCGGTGCATCCGTCTTCTGAATTTTCTGAAGTAAGAGGTCCTCAAAGGACATGCATGGCTGAGCCTGCTTTGTTCTTGGAAGCCTATGTGCATTTGCACTGTGCAACTTTGACGTATCACCTCGTTTCTCCAAAGTTGACCTCTCTCCTGCATCCTCTGGGAATGACTGCTGATTTCGTTCCCTTAGTGACGCCTCGAGGTTGAATGTAGAATTGTCAACTGGAGGCACTAAATTATTAGCAATTGCCAAATTTGCAGGATGGAATGCTGACTTCGCAATGGCATTTTGGTTGCAGAGAGATGGGGTCGAATCAAAGATCCCTGTTCCCCGGTAGCCAGCCTTGATATGAGAAGCACCTATCTTCCGCCAAACACTTCCTAGTTGCTTTGCAAACTCAGCTTTTGGCATTCCCCCTGCAAGGCTTATGCGGCCCCATGATACCAACTGGTGATCCCATGCGGTTTTCAGGGGCCCAAAAACCCCTTTATCCAGAGGCTGGAGAATATGAGAAGTATGTGGCGGAAGTTTCACCAGAACAATGTCGGCTTCCATGGCACACAAGATGAGCTCGATTGTCACGTGAGAAACGTGACCATCGTACAAAAGGACTGCCTTTTTTCCTTCTCCAATGATGTTCTTCACATGGGGAACAAACTGATTCTTGAACCATTCCAAAAAGATGTGTGAATTCATCCATCCATTCTCTGACACAGCATAGTTTGTGCCAGGGTATGCATCTGGAGATGTCCATGAATCCCAGAAATTCTTTCCTCTGTAAATGATGAGCGGCGGCATCTTTCTTCCAGATGCACTTACACATGCCAAAACCGTTGTTGATTCCCTTCCAGAACCTTGGCTCTGGCGGGTTAGTGAAGTTCCCTTTGTACCCACACCTTTAGTCTTCCTCGGATCATGGAAAAATCCCGTCTCGTCTGCATTCCATACAAAATCCCCTTGAATGGCTGCATCCTCATCATACAAGCCTATCTCTTGATATGCTGCAGCAATGACTCTGAAGAAATCGGCTATGACCACTGGATCAGCTTGCTTGGCTCGACAAGACTGCAGGAGTTCTGGTTTTTTCAGAGTTAGTGTGGAATGCCTGGTCATGAATCCACGGAACCAGTCTTCTCCTAACTTGTCGACTTTCAGCTCGTTGAGCTTGCAGTAATCTGTAGCAAGTGCTATGACCTCTTTTCTTGACAAAGGATAGCCCCACTCCCCCATTTTTCTCAAGACAGATTCCAGGGTGTCCTCTACTTCCTTGGATAAAGCAGGCTTCCGTCCGGGAACTGCAGAGTCAAGTCCGGTTCTTCTAGTGCTCAGGCGCATCTGGATGGTGCTCTCAGGAACACCATAATAATTTGATGCTATTTTTCGGTTCATTTCATGATTCTTAATGGCATTCACAGCACTTACAAGATCTCCATGGGAGTAGCGTTTCCCCGCACCCCTCTCAGTTTTCCTTTTGTAAGTGCGAACCATTATGAAGCCTGGAAGAAGCCCCATGCACATTACTCAGTCAAGCATACATATTTTCTAAAAATAAACTGATGTACCAAAGTTAAGAGCACTTAAAATATTGTATGTGCAATGTTACTTTTGCCCCATGCAACGTTGTTACAATTGCCCCACGACCCAACTTTCCATGGGGTAAAAGTAACATTCAACTAAACAAGTGATGTGATAAGGCCAAAGTCCAAGTTTTGAGATCATGAGGTCGATATCAAGATCAGACAGATAATGTAACAGTTTTACATTTAAGACTTCATTAGTTGGGAAGAAATACGAAATTGCAACAAAAGATAAAAAATTTGGATTATTAATTTTTTCATCAAGGCGCGCAAAATTAAAGTAAACACATTCTTAGGAAATCACAGAGAAGCTCAAAATATATTTTATCAAAGGATGGTGATTGACATGTTATGGACACAAAATAGGGAAATTGTATCTGATGTACTTGCAAAAAGATAAAGCATTGTTACAATTACCCCATTGTTACTTTTGCCCCACCTCACCCTACCCAGAAAGAGTCAAACTCAACCTGCTCACACAATTTCTGCAGAGAAATACATGCTACAGTGGCTAGTTATACCTTGCGAACTCCATGAATGAGGAGAGATGCTATGATGATAGTAGCAATGGTCCACAGCACACCAGCAATTTTGATATCAGTCACAGCTGGAAAAGATGTAAACAGAAAGATTTCAAAAATCTTACTCCCTATATTCCTCAACAGGGTTACTGGTACTTAATGAAGAACATCTAATAAAGATTAAGTATGTGCATTTTTACAGGCCAAAAGACTAATGTATTTTAACAAGCAAGCAATCAAAGCCAACATACATACATACTAAAGCCAAAGACTTCCTAATTTTGTAACATCCTACTCTGACATGTGGACAGAACTACTGAATGTTCAGATTACACTCAAAGTATTCCACTTTATAGTAGTGAAAGGCTGGTCTCAAGACAACAGTTCAGTAGTAGTTTGGTTCTAGTTTCAGTTCAGACTTTGGTCTGACTAAAGTTCCACTGTGGTTTTGGCAACAACTCACATAACAAAATCCCAACTGGTACTGCGACTGAACTAAAACTGGAACTGAATTTCAACTGAACTGTGACTGGGCTGCAGTTTTGAAATCAGTCAATGTACAGGTGAAAGCAGATATTAAAAAAAAGACAAAAGATTTTTAACTAAAATATCTTGCTGGAGCAACCATTACAAAACTTACAGTGTGAACAGATTGATATGTTTCCAAGAGACCATTAAAATTTCATCTGAATTGATACCTTCAATAACAATACATTTCTCAAATCTATTTCACCCATGTAGAAAGGTAACTATATGACTACTACATATGATCTATCATATATCTACATTATAAATATGTAGTTAACTGAACTACCTAACTATGAAGGAGAGATCATAGGAAGGTGAGAGTGGTTTCATCAACTGTCATGGCCTGGAGGCTTGCACATAATATATAAGATGTTGATTGATGAATACATTTTTAATTTAGCTCTTTCCTGATGCTACTTCTTCAGTGCTCTCTTGGATTGGATTATGCAGTTTCTTGGACCTTGGATCTACCGTCTCCAGTGTTTAGTCATGGTCAACTGTTTGTTGTTTTTGCATGTCTTTCATTCATATGATGCTAAGGTGCAAGTCATGAACACAGATTTCCAAGGAAAGTTTCCAGGTCACGAAGGCACATATACTTCGAATGTTATCTATGAGGAAGTTTTGCAACTCAATACTCCATTTCTAGTTTCTACCACAAACATACAAGTTGTTATATTTGTTTACTAATTGTACTTTCTCAGACTGCTAATTTAAAATTAACTCTGGTTATTTAAGTCTGTTGAAATTTTGTTACAATGAAGCATATCCCACAGGACACAAGTATGGTCTAGTATTTATCAATTGTCCATGCAATAAATATATGATGGTGTAAATACAAAACCCACCACATAAAAAATATTGCATGCCATTTGTCGCTCTGATGTCTGGCAGTGAACATGTCACAATTCAAGCAGCTTGGGAATGTCAAATTTTGCCAAATATTGGGGAAAACTCATACAGAGACTCTCACATCATTGAAGGAAGCATACAGGAGTGATAACATGTCAAGATCCCAGGTGTCTAAGAGGTACCAACGTTTCAAGGAGGCACAGGATTTTCTTCACAACAATGCGCTTGCTCACCAGTCATTGATGGTGATGCAGCTCTTGGCAGACATGAGAAAACAACTGTCCCACCGCATCCACCTTACTCACCAGACTTTGTGCTGTGAGATTTCTATCTGTTCTCATGGAAGAAGAATCTTCCGAAAGGAAAACACTTTTCCAATGCCAATGAGATGATGAAAGCTGTGACAGCTGCATTCAAGGAAGTTACAAATGCAACAAATGAGTTAGCCCCTTGTTTCTAAGAACTGTACAAGTGCTGGCAAAAGTGTGTGACTAACCAGAGCCACTATAAACACCAACTAAATTGCTCCAACCATGACCAGTGGTGTGAACCAAATCCAGTCTGGAAACTTTTTGAACCTACTACATACCAGCCCCACAATGCATATAATAGGCATTCCAAAGTCAAATATCTCATCTGCAGCTCCATATCTCCATGTGCAAGCCTTTCATTGAAAAATTCATAAAAGGCCCTGCCATATATGATCATATACTTGATTCAATAAGAAATGATCAGATGTTTCCCTATACATGTCCATATATTACCAAATATGATGGACCATATATGCCCATTTCTGATAAAATCATACATGATTTTTCAAAATGGGTAAGCACCTTATGTTCAATGGCCATATTCCATATCTTATTACACAATTTACATTATTTGTAGACTTCCACATCAAGTCATAGATAGACCTAACCTCACCACTGTAAGTAGAGAAAACCCACCTTCCTCAGAAAGTTGCAGGTCATGCTGTTCAAAGTGAGATTCCTTCAGGAGTCCAGTCAAGAAAGCCAAGTTCATGATCAAGCTAAAGCAACCAAATACCTGAAAAAATATATCCAACAAAAGATGTTAAGCCTGGTTTCACCTGTCAGTAGCATACCACAAAAAAATTATATCCAAGCGTAAACATGTTATGTCAAGGATAAATGTTTTGTATTTCCATAAAAGTCACAGCCAAAGCAGCAATGGTGATGGCTCCCTATGGTACAAATGTCCCATCAGGACAGACTCAAAATGTAATCATTGCCCATTGTTGTAATAAGAGGGAAAGAGAGAACTAGGTTTTCTTGTAACCAGCTCAGGCATACATCCAATGCAAAGGACCATGGACTAAACTTTAAAATGTAAAAAAAGCAATGAGATACATCCAGAGATACCCTGGACAGGGCCACCCAGAGGGGGGAGGCAATTGGGGCAATCTGCCCCAGGCCCCACATATGAAGGGGTCCCAAAGGGGGCCTCAAGGGGGCTCCCAAGGGGTCTCCAGTTTAGTTTTGCCCCAGGCCCCTGGAAACCTCTGGGTGGCCCTGACACTGGACCCAGTTAACCTACACTAATGCTTTTTCCCTCAATATCCAGAAGGGCAGAAAATAAAATGTACTTAAAGAAAACAAGAGGAAAGATTTTTTTAAAAGGGGCATTCAAGTAGCACCATCATTCCTAAGGCTCTACTTCTAAAAAATGCTTTTATTTTTTTGCTTTAGTACTGTGTTTGGGTGTGTGTAATTGTACCAGAATTACTTCTTAACCCTAGAACTGCCAACTGTAGATAAATTGATGGTTGGCAATTCTAGGGTCAGTTCTATTAAGTATGTATGATTGACTTGGACTGGATTAACTCTATGGCAACCTAAGCGTTTATTTCCTAGTAACTTCTTCCTCTCAAGACAACAGCTCCAATGCCTCCAGCAGGGCCCTTGTTCATATTACACATGTATTATTCCAATTGAACATTCCTTAAAGAAATACCAACATGTAGGCCAAGGATTAATGATGCCAGAACCTGGCACCAAGAACTAGAAGTCCTATTCTCAACATAGGGTAGGATCTTGGCCAAGTTCTTACCAGCTGCAACACAGCAATAGCAATTGAGCCATCCCTGTTGCTGAAAAAACAGCAGCATCCATTCACTACTGGCTTTCCCATTTTTCTGCACTATCAGCACAAGTACTTTCTTGAGTTCTATAACCTAAAAAAGAGACAACAGAACTCAAATTTCGGTTTTGTTAGGCCTTTTCATACGCTTACATAGGTTAAACCTTAGCCTACCAAAGGTTAAAATAAGGTTGCATCCCTTACTCTAAAAGGACTAGGCCTGTAACAGTTACGCGGATACGAAGTGGAATCGACAAAAGAATGCCTAAACACACCGTGGTCGAACCAAGTCAGTAATGCTCAGTGGGAAGTGAGTAACAAGCTACGGTTGCAGGAAAATTGAGAACGGGCTCCTCCCCCTTCGCAGAGGCAGAGCATGAGGTTTACGGGCAGTGGCGTATTTTATGGACGGGGGAGCGGGCTACTATATGACCTTGGCCTTGAAAGTGCCTCGCCCCCTCTAAGAGATTTTCTCACCCCGAGAATTTTCCTCTGCACCCCCACTGGCCTTGACTACTCCTTTGTGGGCGCGGCCGCCGAATGGTATTACGTGTTCTCCGTGTACGAAAAAGGGCCCTACTATATGTACTGACTCCAATTAGATGAGTACCGGTGAGATTCGGAAGGACTAGATCCACTCTCTAAGTCTCGCCTCCACCCCCTTGTCCCGGTCCGTGGGAGGTCTCTTGGAGGTGGGAGGTGTCCGGTAGGGGGTGGCTCCTCCTCCACTCCTCGGTGAGGTCCGCCGCTAAGCCCACACCTTTCTGCTACCCTTCACCTTGGCTAATGAGCCAAAATACGCCACTGCCCGCAAGTCATGCTTGCCTTGGAAATGGCTGCTGCATCCCTCTCCCGTTGACGAGTGGAGGCCGTCTTGAGATGGCATAGACTACGCCAATTGTGCAATCGAGCACGGTTTTTTTTCTTTTAGTGG